GGACTTGAGAGAAACATGGGTGGTTTATCAAGAATCGGTATCTTTGATGTGACCTGCATTCCTTTGTCACACTACGAGACATTTGCCGCAGCACTTGGCGTAGATCAAGGTCTCACGAAAATCTCGCCACAACCCCTCACAAAGAAATTCATCTATTGGCTCAGCTTTAATGTTGAATACCAAGGTATTAAATCATAATTCAATCTTCTGTGGTTCTGTGGTACCTATTATTAATAAACTAAAATTTGTTTAAATGATGCTGCAAGACATTTATGAAATATTTCAAATTGTCTGTGTTTGCTAGCGCTAAGTGGTCTCTATTGTAATACAACATGTAGTATTGTTTACATTACAAATTTAACTACCACGTGTGTCAAGTAATTGACTGTATGACCTTTATTTGATATGTTTTACTATTACTGTAATTACTAATACCTATAGTCGTTGTTCAGTAAATCACCAGAACCATTGTTTGTGATTACATTTTTACAATATGAAGTGTCACCATGATTGTTATAATGTAATTAGCATTGTAGCCTGAAGAGTACACATGTCCAATTATTCAACACTAAGACACATAAACACATGCTAGACAGCAAGCATAACACACTATTTATGTTATTTGCACCCAACATCAGAGATGCAGGTGCTGTATGGTAATCGTGATATACATCGCATCCATCCATGATGTTTTAAGATTTGAAATTGTTGCTATTTTGGAACTAAGCAATATGACTGTTATTATCTCTTAAATTCAATACAATTTTTGTTGTGTTTTCTGTTCAGATTAATTTGGACTGTTAACTTCTATTAAGATTTGATACTCTTCAGAATCCTAGCCTCTGGGAAATTCTTCCCAGATAAGCACATACATAAACTAAAATTAACTTGTTTCTCTGGTCATAGGAAAAACAACAGCTGAGCTGCTGGAGCTATGGGTCAAAGATGCCACAACAGTCTTATCTGCCCGGGCGGCAGGGACTCAACTTGACCTCTACAAAGTCATAGCTGAAAGGAAGGTAACTCTTTTGATGCCTCTATAGTTACAGTAGGACCTTAACTCACAATAAGTATATCTATTTATGTAAGGATTGATAAGTAATATTATATGTAGGGCTATTTGATGCAATATGTTTGTCCAAATGTACCTGTGTGAACTGTACTGTGACGTTAACTCTGACCTCAGATATGCTTGCTTGAATCCTATTGCCACCTGATTATTTCAATGAGCAGCTTGCAATACTTTTGCAATGTCTTGGTAGATCTCGCATCCCAGGTTAATCAGTCCTCTGCTGTGTCATCGTGAGAGCCATTTGGTTGCCTTTTTGGTTGTGTGTTAATATCAGATCGTGTGGGTTCAAATGTATAGTCTATTTTACTGTTGTGTAATTTGATTGTGTTCAATGGTCCTCTTTTTGTATTATTCTGCCAATAATCACAGTGTCATGGGAAAATCCACGGCTAGTGTCTTTTTCAACAGGGACATTGACAACCCACGGTTGACATTTTTAACATTGATTGTAGCTAACTTATACTATATATCCAGGCATACCTATAATCCTGTTACCGGTATTCACACATCTATTCTCTGTGCTTACTCCTACAGGTGCATTGCTTCATTGGTACGGATGTGCCAGACGAGGTTGACAAGTTGTCTTTCGCACTCCCTTTGATGCAAGAGAATGGGGCCAATGTACAGATAGAGTGTCGGGCAGTACAACTCTTGGAAGAATACACCACAAGAATCATGACTGAGAACATACAATAACATTAGCAACCTGCCTCTGAACAGTCAAATGATGTGAAACAGATCCTTCATGTGATAGCATTTAAAAAGTTGGTCTAGTTGGATTATGTATAGTTGGATTATATATTGTAGTCATTATGTTTCATTGTTGTTTTTCTT